ACGAATCTGCAGTCCCCGCGGCAAACTTCGACAGTGAGCCCAGCGCCGAGCACCCTATGACTCCCACTAACGCGCACAGCAACCCGTACGGTCAACCCACATAGTCGCACCAGCGAAGGCTTAATGAGTGGTAGCTCAGTCGCTTGGCAGACAGTGACACCCTGCGAGCTGGTCAGGTATATGCCTCATCTTCCTTACGCGTGTAGCCAGGCCGCTGGGCAGGCCGCAAATGTGCCAAACGAGAAGGAATCTCCCGTAAGAACAGGACGCGATAGCCTGCTGCAGTTCACCCTCGAGCTCTCATGCACTCTAGAACGTGGCTCATCCTTTGATTCCCCTGCCTTGCGGGTCTGGTTGTTCTCACGTCGAGGTGAGATCCCTCCTTCTTACTCCACGACTCCTCCCCTTTCGCACTTACGTCCACATTTCAACAGTGGCATATGACTGTCAATCGAGCAACCCACCAATTCCAAGGGCGGGAGTGAATCCTTCTTCGACCAAAACAGGTATACTGCTCAACTCTCGATGGTATGTACCTCCTCCCGCCCTTCGGACCTGACCCGCTATTTGGCCAGGTTCAGCCAGATGAATCAAGAACAATACCATAACACCACCATGCTCATGGAGTTCTGCACACGGGCGACACGGTCTTAGTGGAGGATGTAACAGTTATCACCCCTCTGCGCAGGTAAGTATTCGACCCCGCCGTTGGCCTCCCGCAACTTACACCATTCACATGAGCAAAATTGAATGAATCTTTCGCTGACAAGCGGAGAAATTCATCGCCCCGTAGCAGAGTTTTTCCTTGCGCGCAGCCCGTACTAGTCATAGCACAAGATCTAACGTCCCTTTACTGAATCTAGCTTCGCCACTCTAATCGCAGCATCTTAATCCTTCTAGGACGCCTCCCCGTTCGTACATTCCTATCGAGAAGCGGGCAGGCTAGGCGATCTCCGCTCCCACCAACTTCCTTTCGGCCATAGCTCAGCGCAGCTACTATCTCACTTAACTCCTCTCCTGACTACTCCCTCGCCCGAACTGACATCCCAACCCTACTCGCCCACTTTCAGGTCCCCTGTTTCGGATCTTATCCCGCTCAGATCTTATGAGAAGTAGGTGTGGTATGGACTTTTCATCCGATGCTCGGCCATTCCTGCCATATCCTTCTTAGCGCAGCTTTCGACTGCTATAGCGTTGGATCCGCGACTTTAACGTGGCTTTCGACCCCGTAGATCGATTCGCCAGGGGCCATAACCCCGAGGTTGCCTCCTCCGCCGCTTGGATCGACTAAGGGCCGGCAGAGCTCTTCGCGTCTACCTTGCTCCGTCCATCTTCCCCCACCACCTTCGAATGCAACTTATGCCTGCCTCCGTCCAGATTCACTCGCACATTCCGTGACTGTCTCCATTGACTATGGGCGCGCTTATCCCCTTCTCTGCCCTGCTCTTAGCGCAGCTCTTCGATCGGCGCCCGACTCCCTCTAACTATTCAGTACCAGCGCTATATTCAGTATCAATGACCCGCGACCTACACTGCTTGCCTTCCTGAGTACTGCACCTCACACTAGCGTTGTGCGGTACGTAAACAGAGCGTATGGATTCTTCCCAGATTTATATGCATCAGTCTTACACAGGGGCCATACTAATTCTCTCTATATCGTTCCGAATTTTTACGGATGTCCCGAAGGACCAGGCCGCACGACGGCCTTGAGGAGCCTAACTCGGGCTGACCGGCCCTAGACGATTCCGAATGCTCAGGTTTACTCGTCAGGCTCCATCCTCTGGAATTGAACACAGTCTGTATTTCAATGGTTCAAGGGCGTACCCACAGAGCTAGACTCTTGGGGTTTGTAGTCAGTCTCAGGGCCGACACCGGCTCGGACCCGAATGGGTCAAATAGAAAAAAATAAAATAAAATAAAGTAAAATAAAACGAAGGGGGCGGGACCTACCAGCATCTCCCCGGTCCTGCCATGCGGGCCCGTGGTCGGACTCCCCCAACAAAACTAAAAGGGGATAGTCCCGCAGGACCCTCAACCCTTCAGCTCCTTCAATGCTTCATCGCTCCCATGCTGCTGCCTGCTGACGTCAATCCCCACACCTCCATTTCACAAGTCCAATGCCGTAACCCATAGGGCTAAGCCCAAGCCTGAAACCAACCTGGGCGAAATCTCATATAAACCCGTGCGGCGTAACGCTCAGGGCCAAGAAAGCGTCCGGGCCACTCCTCCATCCGTTGTCGAGCGTGCGAGCACTAAACGTCCGCGTCGGTTTGTTCAGACTACACCATGGTCGCCACCATTCCGCACGCCAAACCTACCGCCGGTTGAACATGCCGGGTAGAGAGACGGAAACTTTGATGTCCTAACCTTAATCAACAAATAAAAACCATGATGGCCGGCTATGCCGGCCATTCGACCAATTAACGGAAAAGATCACACGCGCGCCTTAAAGCTTGCGCGCCCACACCCTTTCTGCTCTAGTCAACCATCTAGTCAACATAAATCACAGACGCAGTTGCGCCTCGCGCGGTATATTTAGAGCTAGTTGTAGGTAGTTCGCAATTTTCCAGGGCGGATACCCTTGTAAGGGTATTCGCACCGACACCGGTCCTTCCTTTTTCCAAAAGTCCCGGTTCTACCAGAGCTAGTTGTAGGTAGTTCGCAATTTTCCCAAGGACCAGTCCCCCAATTTTTTTTGCCCCCTAAGAACCCACTTTGCGTCCTGGTCGCCCCCCGCCAAAAATGCAACACCTTGACACAGAAGTCCACTATACCGCAGCCTTAGGGCTGCAAATTTTGATAACAAAATGAATGTTTTTGGGGGAAATTTTTGAAATGACCTTGAAGTTTGTGTTTATTTGCGATTTACCCCTCCGACGACGACTTACTCTGATTTGCCCCTCTGATAGTGATTTAAGTTTCCAAAAACACCCTAGCGTCGTTTGGGGCCTGAAACATTTTAAATATGCCCCTACTGGTACTTTTACCAAATTTCCAGTTTGCCCTTACCGGATAGCCGCTCAGTATAGGCACACGAATTCTCCATGTGCCCCTATCGGTACCGTGCATCTTTTCGGTATGCCCTTCTGGGCATTGCTGGCAGTAGCAGTTGTTTTCCTGACCCTGAGACGGGTGTTGCCGGGACATATATATGCATATATATATATAATATATCGTCACAAACAGAACTGCCCGGTAAACCGTAGGCAGAGAGAGAGAAGAGGACAACAAACGAGGGG